CAAGCTCCCTCTCTGTATACTTATGGATAATCGCTTCCATCCCACCTACATGTCACCCACTTTATCTTTTTATCTTCAGTGTGTAATTAAGCCTCTCTAGTGTATCCAGAACAATGTATTGTGGTGCGAATGAGATTCTCAGAAGTGCTGAAAATATGTGTAATTTTAAAGTCCCTCAGCCACTCATTTCGTAGATTTGACTAGACAATGTGTTTCAGAGGTTACTCTTTAACACTGAGGAATACATTTTTAAAAAAGGAGAAGTACACTCAGCAGCTACATGAATCCCTGCCAGGGCAACACTTTCTGATATTGAATAAAATCCTAGGTTAACTATGTATTGTACCATTTCTGCTACAGTAGACAGGCTTCAGCTTTTCCTATTACAAAACCTCAGGTCTGCCTAAATACAAAGTCATTTGCAATGCAAATATTTTTATTTGTTTCACATTTGAATGGATGAGATACACTTAACTACTTCAGTCGAACAGTTGCAAAGGTATCAAAAATTACAGCAATCATAACATTTTATTAAAATGCAGTTAGTTATTTTATCTAGAATGACAGGCACAAAAAGTCTGCCAAGGTTTTGGATATTTTGCAAAAATCTGCTAAAGTTATGAAGTCAGACCTGTTTGATTTTTTTTTTATCCTCACCCGAGGATATTTTTTTTTTTGTTGTTCAGGTAGAGCCTGAACAGGGAGAGAGGGGGAGAGAGAGAGAGAGAAACATCGATGTGAAAGGGATACATTGAGTGGCCGCCACCCGCATGACCAACCAGGGCCGGGGACAAACTGCAACCGAGGTACATGCCCTTAGCGGGAACCGAACCCGGGTCTCTCGGGACCGCAGGCCGACGCTCTAACTGCTGAGCCAAACCGGCCAGGGCAGACCTGCTTGATTTTTTTAAGAAAAAGGGGTAGTTGTTTTTTTTTTTTCCTTATGAATTATTTTATTTCTTTGTTTAAGACTAATCTTGCATAGTCAGAGGTAGAAAGAGGTAGGAAAAAAAGAAAGAGAAGAGAAAAAAATGGCAAGAGGAGGGGGGGCGAGAAGGAAGTGGGGCCGGAAGGTGTGGAACACCCATGAATACATTCCCCATGAATCAACACTTATTTCCTTAAAGCCAGATGTCTTTTAGAAACATAGTAAAACAATCAGAAGCCACTTTATGATAAAAATTGCCTGTCTTTGTGTCTGTACAGAAATAATTAATCCCTCAATTATTTTTCATTCTTGTTAACTCAAAGGGCACTACAGGGCCAAGTAAGGTTGACCAGAGACAAAGTTTGCAATCTTTGTTTTGTCATCTGAGTTCTGTCACCATGTTCCCCCTCTACCTTTCCCCACTTGTTTGGGGTCTGCTCTTCCACCCCCAAATCTCACCAACATTTGGGTAAACTTCCTCCCTTCCCCTTCCCTTAATAAGATAATTATTTGTTCAATCATCATTTATATATTTGATTAGCTGATGAAACTTTAATTGACATTCATTCACATCAATGTAAAGATATATCCATGTATTTGCGTTTTAATATCTAACTCAGAATAAAAGGATTTTTCCCTGGGTGAAAGAATTTTCAGCTTAATAACTTGGCTCTTTGCTTTTTTATAAGTATTCTAGAATCTAATTTTTAAAATTTCCCACACAAGCAAAAACTAAAACAGCTACTTTGCTAGAATTTTCACTGGGATTACAGCTAAGGAAGAATCGACATTTTTAAATATTAAGATTTACAAATGACACACATGTTTTTCCTGCCATTAATTTAGATATTCTGACATTTCTCTCTCTATTTTGTTAATTTCAAACTAATATTTGTTGCCTCTTTATTAGAATTATTCCTATCTATTTGCTCACCAGACTTGAGGGCTTTCTATTCCAACCCTGGGTGGAGGTCTTAGATGCACACTGCTGAGATGTACCTTCAGGAGATCCTGAGGTGAGGCTTGTAATTTAGTGAAAGCCGTTCACCGCCACACTTTCCGATCATCGCGCCTCACACTAAAGCTTCACTCTCCCCAGGAAGTACTGCTTCATGCCAGTGATTGGTTTTGGAGAGGGTGCCAGAGCCGGGCTGTTTCTGGCCAGTGCGGGACTTCTCGAATGGACACTGCGCTGGAACTTCTACCAGCCAGGCTCAGATTTCTCAGAGCTGCAGTACAGCTTGACGTTCTTACCCAGCCCCACTCCCACCCTCTCCCTCCTCACAGGTGCTAGGCTGACTCATGGCCCGAGGCTCTTCTGCCCATGTGTGTCCCCTTCTGTCTGTCACAGTGATTTCCTCCGATCTCTTGCACATCTATGCTTGTATTGGTGTCTATTTATCAGACAACAGGAACTGAGAAAAAGGAATTCCTTTTATTACCTTAAAGAAATTGACATTTGTTCTTAATTTGCTTATCTTTTGCAAGTCATGAGAAGGTTGAAAAAGAGAAACAGAGGAAAAGATAAAACTTTGAGTACATTTGAAGGTATAGCGGTGGGATTTCTGATTAGGAGAAAATAGAGATGGGAGATAGTGAGGAAGAAAATCCATGCTGGCAAGCCGGAGGCAGCTCAAGCTCGGGGAGCAGAGAAGCTCTACATTGGATAAGAATTCAGAAATTTTGGTTATTGCACTAGACTGACCTGTAGTTCTATAATTATTAGATTGCACAGAACCTTAGTAAGAAAATAACAATGTTTTTATTGTCCAAGAGAGACTACAAAAAATCCATTCTAGGACTCACCCAGAGCACGGAAATACACGTCTGCAAGGTAAACTTAATGGAGAGTATTGAGAAAAAGTTATTTTATAGAATACTTTGGCTAAATCCTGCTCAACCGTAAACAAGATATTTGAGATAATATCAGTTCTACTGTGTAGTTAAGAAGAGTTGATGTGATTTTCAATGTATTGAATATTTTTCTTTACAGTTGAGAATAAACTAGGTCAAGTCATGAAAAATTCAAAAGCAATTCTTTGATAAGAATAATAGGATTTCTAAAGAATGTGATTAGATGACAGTAATATTGCATCAAGAAGAGACCAAACACCACCTTTGTATTTGCAAGTGACATCTGGTCTGTGTGACTGTGTGACTGTTGCTTATCAGTCACTGGGTACCGTGTCGCCGTGTCACTATGACTTGAGGACGAGCGGTACAGAACTCCCCGAGGTCAGTTCACACCTCCTCCATCTCTGCTCCATTATGTGGGAGCTTGGGGAAGCAAAGAAGCATCACCCCACCCTCAGGTCCAGGGTGGGTCAGGTTTCCTACCAACAGTTTAGACAGTGCACTGCCCCTCTCATTTGGCTTGTAAAACAGTTCACAGGAGTCCCCAGGGGACACCGAAACATGAGGACATTTGAAGCCAGTCCCCTCCGTCTTTATGACTCTGATGGGTGATGGGAATGACTAGAATGGCTGAGATGGTTTTGGATCCAAATGGGAAGCTTATAACATCAAAAATGTCTAGGGCAAGGGGCTAAAGGAAACTGTGCCTTTGATAAAGTAATTGAGTCACAGAAACAAATGAAACACCTGTGCTGTCTCAGAACCTTCAACTTTTGTGTCAGTCAATCCCCTTCATTGATTAAATAATTTTGAGCTGGAGTTTTTTTTGTTTGTTTATTTATTTATTATCCTCAACAGAGGACATTTTTGCATTTGTCTTCAGATAGACTAGGAGGGAGAGAGGGAGGAAGAGAGAGAAACATCGATGTGAGAGAGACACATTAAGTGCTTGCCACCCACACGACCCCAACTGGGACCGGGGACAAACTGCAACTGAGGTATGTGCCCTTAGCAGCAACCAAACCTGGGACTCTGATTTGCGGGCCAATGCTCTAACCACTGAGCCAAACTGGCCAGGGCTGGAGTTTTTTTAGTTGCAAGACAGAGTGCTCACTGATATAAGTCATAGGGAAATAACTCTAGTTCTGGAGGTAGAAATTCTGATATCTGAATTCTGGAGTTGTCATGATATAGCTATATAACCTTAGGCAAGTCATTTAACCAATTTGAACCTTAACATAGTCATCTGTTAAATGGAAGTGGTCATATCAAGTTTCACGTTCTGCTGTACAGAAACATGGGAGAACACATATAACATGCCTTGCTCATAATAGGTATCCAATGAATGTGCGTTTTGTTCCTCTCTGCAACATCACGTGGCTTGTATATTTAAAGTATATTTACTTACTGTTTTGATATTGCAAATAAGTAAATTTCTTTCTTTATAAATATTAATGAGTATGAAATCCAGGTTGCTTAGTACTTAGATAATCCCTTTATGCTTAAAGGTGACTAAGCCTCTACTGTGTTACACAAAATCTGTGCCACTGATCACCTGGCATAAGTGATAATCTCTAAGAAGTTTTCTTAGGACAGGTCCTAAAATTATAAAACTTAGTTTCTTTGCTGCACCAAGAATATCTCACATTCTATCTAGATATTCGTGTGGACATCTTTATTTCACATTCCTATCAGTCTTAGTGCTCTGGCCCCAATTTTTTCAAAGCATTGATCTCAGATTATTCTCATGTTATAGATCAGAGAGCAAATGATTCAATTCTCATTAGGCATCTACTAATTCTTAATGTGCTTGTTAGGAAATAAGGAGATCTGAGAAGCTATAGGAAAGTAACTCAGGGGGAAGGGAACACTTCCTAGAAAATACTAACTACTAATAAATCATCAACAACCTACTCTCAAGAGCTTTAAGAGCTTCCCTCTCCCTGGAGCTTGAGCCCAGCTCCATAGATTCAGGTGGGGTTATTCGTTGGTGGAGAGACCAATGCCTTATGTATACCGGAGGATTATTTTCCGTCAGTACAGCATGTCTTATAAAAACCATCGACAATAATGTGGGCACTTGTCAATCATCATGAGTTTCTGACAGACTGAGATTTGGAAATTGCTTCTACTGCATATGCATGCTTTACAGGACTATTGTATCAAAGGCTGTGCAGTAGTCTGGTCTGGATTAAAGCTGCTGTGTGAGACAACTTACTAGCATCCACTTCCGTTACCACGATCGGTTTGGAGAACTGAATTCGGAAGCCCCAGGGATCGCCAGCTCCTTTGAAGAGCCTCACAGTTCGCTCTCGAACTATAGAAGAAGCAAAGAGGGCATTTTTTTGAGTTACTCTTTAGGTTAGTATACATATGATTATAAGAGTAGCTAGTATGTACTGCTTATTTATTGCATGCCCGGCCTAATAAAAATGTTCTAAGCATTTTACAAGTATTATCTAATTTATTCTTCTGGTTAGCCTATTAACATTGTTCTTTTGGAGAGAAGGAAACTGAGGCACAGAGAGGTTAAAAAACTCACTTGAGTCACACAGTGAGTAAGGGAGACTGCTAACTACTGCAAGGCAGTATGACTCCCAAGAGGCAGCTGAGCCCTACGGGTCCGTGTCACTCAGATCCGTAAATAATGGGACATTTATTTTGAGGTTATAGGTGGACATATGAAAAATTAGAATTCTTAGCCATACATTTAGATCTTATAGAATCCAAGAACACCTAACAGCTGAGCTTCTCAGAAAAAAACAAAAAACAAAAAAAACCAAACCAGAAACAAAACCACACAACAGAAATAGCTGAGCCTTGCAGAAGCTGTAACTGTCAAGTTGTGCTAGATTGAAGGTGGAGAGTTCCAGAGACTTCACAGTAAGAATCTGTGGATTTTCCATTAGACCAGTGATCATTAGTTAAGTTGGCTCAGCCTTTTCTCAGCCTGCTTTTCCCTGTATCTTCTCCTTTTTCCTCCTACTGCCTTCACACAGTCTTTTCTGTGTATGTGTATATATGTATACATAATTGTATACATATGTATATGTGTATTTGTTAATAATATCTTTACATGATAAAGAATAAACCATAATAAAGCATCATGATAAACTTCTTGAGCCTTGGAAGTGAATTATTAGTAATAGCCCTATTAGTAGGTCTCTAGGGAAAGTGAGGTAATTATAAAATAAGAATGCTGCTCTATTAAGAAGGGCAAGGTAAATGATCACCTTAAAATTATAATTTAATAGGATATCCTTTCATTAAAAAATAGGAACACATTAGAATTTATTGTATTTTTGTATTGAATTTTCTCATTTCTCATATCTCTATCTTCCTCAGGGTTAGATATCAAGAGTATTTCCTCTTTGCAGGGTTGCATCCTCTTAAGGTACACAGTCAAAGGCTGTTACAGAATGCATAATGTAGACAAAACATGCATAGAACTAGAAGCAATCGTGAGGTCAAAGGAAATCTTGAGAATTTAAGATGACTTCATGGTTGTACTTTGAGTGGGAAAGGACCTTAGTCCAGCTTCCCTTTTAATGAGGAATCTCCTTGTCATCTCTGACAGATGCTCTAGGTGGGTGAATCTCTAATCTTTGGAGATAGAGTATTATTATAAATTTACAGTATATTGTACAGAGTTTGTAAGAAGATGTGCCATTATTTTATTAAAATTTCTCCCACTTATTCTGGGGAAAACCAATACTTTTTAAAACTTAAGTTTCCTATAAGAAAGGACAAAGACAGTAAAAGATCAGTCAAGTGTACAGATGTGCTTGGATGCGACCATCTCCTCGGTCAGCTAGGGAATAAAAATATCTGATAGAAACAAGAAAACAAGCCTCTCTGTCTTTAACGATCCACTGCAGCCTAACAGCAGAAGTGGTTCATTCACAAACATTTACCAAGTACCTGCTATGTGCCCAGGTGTTTTTCTATGTACTAGGACGGTAGTGGTGAAGACAGACAAGAGAGTTTTCTTCATGGAGTTTACATAATAGACATTGGTTGCCAAAATTGTCAAACATTCAAAGACAGGAAGGACAAAGACTATTCATGTGGATTCCTGAATCAATGTTCATCTTTCCAAAATGTCTGGAGAAAATACTGTTTTTCTATGGCTGAAAACAGCATCAGGAAAAGCATTCCAAAGTTACTGTGAAGGTACTGGTGTATGCCAGCCCTACAATTATGTCCTCTGCTCTATTCTGTGCTCCAGGGAAGATCTTTGTCATTTGTTAGTACAATCACCTTGTGGCAGTCATTTTACATGATTGTTTGGACTGCCAGCTACTGGATCTCAGTATAATTTCAGAAGCAGAACTGGGAAATTCAAAGTTACCGAAATAATATTTTAACTGTCTGCAATAGGCTGGTAGCTAATCAGGACAAAAAAAAAAAAAAAAAAAAATCAGAAACCACATTTCTGGCCTTTGTAGAAATTACTTGTAACTTCCCCACTTGTCAAAAATTCTTGCTCCCTCTAGGTTACCCTATTGATACTGTCTTCTGCTTTTGACATATTGATTACCCAACAGGTATTTGTTTAATGGAGAATTTTTACTGTGTTGATTCAAATAGAATTGTTTGTTGTTTCCCATAGAACATGATATTGTGAAGATATAAAGAATTCAATCAAGTCTTTAAATGGTGAGCTCAACTGCAGCCCTCTCCTGTGAGAGACGAGACAATCAAATGTTTTGCAACGTGTTCCCCTCCTGTTCTGAAGACAATTTTCTCGTATTTTAAGATTTATAGTCTTGGTTTCCCTTGCCACTGTCTGGTGGATAATGTATGACTCATCTGCTGAAAAACCACAAATAAATGTCATTGTCTTTCCAGAGACTGTGTGGGCACATCTTCAAGTAATTTATCCCCTCAGATAACACTACCTTGGAATCTTTATTTAAGGTATAAAATTTAGTCTCACAAAGTACATGCTGGTAGATATAAATTAGTATTGCAATATTTTAGAATGCCATTAGGTTAATAAAGATATTTTCAGTTTTAAAATGATTGATTTGTCTACAAATCATCTTTCCTCCCCATCTCGATCTTCTTTATTGATCTCTTATCACATAGTTAAGAACATATGCATTTTATCTATGTAACACTTCAAGTCTTAGTACGACTAGCACATTCTTAAACTGAGGTTCAGTGTAATAAATGCTATCATAAAACTCACAACATCCAAAAATTTTGCATATGTATATATAAATTTTACACATATGAATATATACATATTTTGTGTATATGTATCTGCATGTGTGTGTGTATGTGTATGTGTGTATATATATATCTCAAATGTTTTGGCAAAATTGAACACTTTTTTTCTCTTTTTACCAAAACAAATAATAGTGAATTAACCAAGTAAATGCTTGTTCTTTGCTGACCATAAACAGTTGTAGATATGGTGATAATTTTGATACCTGTACTGAAAATATTTAAGTACCTCTTTGTAGAATCTATCAAATTCATACTTGTAATTTCTCTCTGTGTATCTTTTATCTGTATAAGTTCCCTTAGTGCCTGGACCATAGCAGGCATGGTGTTTGTTGAATGCATGATTGTATAAATAATTTAAAACATGATTTGCAACCTGAATCTTAGCTTGCTTGAGTTAAATTGTTTGTTATTAATCAAGGTCATCTATTTATACTGATAGAGAAATTTACAAAAGTTCTACACCTTACATTTTGCAGGAAAGATTAGACTAAAATAATTTCACATGCTGAAACTTGTAATTCGGGTATAAATGTCTTCTAAAAAATCATTAAGTTGTTATTGCATTTGGGAAATTGCATAGTTTTAATAAACTAAAAATTAATCTCATAAAAAATAATGAAACTATTAGATTGTTAATGAGGCCTGCAAAACACAAGAAAAATATTTATATTATTAAATGAAGGTATAATTATTAAGCAATTGTATTACTAAATGTAAAATGTAGGCTATAAATCTTACATATCAAGCTATATACATCATAATATCGACTGCATATTTCATATATGTTTAAAGCAGGACTACTTATGTATACAATAAAAAGACAATGCAGAAACAATAAAATGGTTATATTTCAGTGTTGGAGCAATAAATGATAATTTGTTACTTGTTTATGCTTTCCAGTACATTTTTGAAAAATAGTATTTTTTTACTCATAGAATGAAATAGATCCGACTCTTCCTCTATGAATCTTTACTCCAACTTTGAAATTACTTTCTGTGTTTGAGCTCTTAAGACTGTTTAATAGCTTCAGATTCTTTCATAGTATTAATAAATACATTATATAGGTATATATATTTGAGCACACATACTTCTCTCCAAATGCTACACCCAGTGTGCAAGTTTGCCGACTTCCGACACTTGCCTGGAGCCCGGTGACAGCTTCTCTCAGATATACATATTCACTCTGTCATAACCGTAGAGTCCTTACCCGCTGCTGGTCTGGGCTTTTTACTAAGGCACCTGGGACTGTCCTCAGGATTCCCATCATCCCCTCGAAAAACCCAGGCTGCTGAATGGAAATTCTCCGTGTAGAAACCGTTTGCCTCGATATCAACTCGAAAGCCAAGATCCACAGAACGGCTGTCTTCTGAGGTGACTGAGGAGCAGAAAAGGTGACACCATGAATTGTGCTCTGGCAAGGAAGAAGGTGTGCACGCTAACGGCCATGGTGAGAAACAACCGATGAACGTGTGCAGGGCAGAGTGTCATCCTTGAAAACAAGTAGCTAAGTTGGCCAGACAGTTTTCTTGGGGAGAACAAGTATAGTCTAAAAATATCATGAATAAAACAGACATTGCTTGAGGACCTACACCACGGGAGTCAGTAGACTACAGAGAGCGATATAAATCCTTTTGTTATGGAAAACTATGGAAAATAACACTTGCTTTGAGATGTATATATTAGTATATGGGCATGAAGAGAAAGCCACAGAAGACTGAGACTTAGCTTTAGAATTCCTTTAAATATTCCAAGCACAAGGGAAAAAATCATGCTTATCTCACTGTGCTTCAAAGTAGGCACAACATAGTAAACATACATCCCTAGGACACTCACTGTGATCGTGTGCAGAACAGAGCATAGAGGGACGCACTTCGTTTCCTACGACTGTTTCAGTCCTAGCACTTTGGGATTTTCTGTGTACTTGGGAGGGAGTCTCTTGGACAGTGTGGAAGCCCGTGCCACTTAAGGAAATGAGATTGCATTTCCATACTAGCCTTCAAGGGCTTCTTTGTGGCCCTGTGCAAGCAGTTCGAACCTGAGTCAAGTCATGCCCCAAGTCTTCCAGTCTTTCAAGGGTGCAGAATTAAGAAGAACCATTTCATAACCAAAATGTAATTTCGAAAGGATAAATCCTTTACTTGGATTTCTCAACTCCCAGGGAGAGGGTGGGATTTGAAGACCACAGACTGCTTCTTCTTCAATAACAACAAGAGCAAAACACCTCTTCTTTCAATTTCTTCTCACACACTATAGTTGCTCCCACACCCTTCTTTTCAATATTGTAGGTAAACAGTTTGCCTTCCTCCCCTCAGCCTGTCCAGCAATGGCCAGCTGGACTTCTGCTGTGGGTCAGTTTGCTGTAGTCCCAGGAAGAATGGTTCTTCTGCTCTCGCGGATTTTCCTCTGGAGAATCGTTCCCAGTGGCTCTTGTCCTGGTCCCTACCTTATTACCTCTGTTTCCTAGAACTGGACTGAAGAGTGTGAATATTAGCTGTTGTCCTGACACACAGATAAGCGTAACAGTAGTTTTCTAGCTCATATATCTGTTTAACTTGTGTAGAAATGGTCAGGGGTAGTATATTCTCAAAGCACAGTTTTTTTTGCAGACATTCAAAAACAATGCTTGTTCTTATAGCTTTTATTTTGTTCACCAAATAAGATGTCATTAGTCACTTGATACTAATCTAGTTTCAGGTGCACGCACTGATGTATTCATCATCATTTATTAAGCTGAATTCATTTAGAATAGTTGCTCTGTCATGAGCAAGGTGCAATGCTAGGCACAATGGAGACAGAGAGATGAGTAAGATAGGGAATGCAGAGGAAGGAGAGTGACTCTGGCTGTAGGGAGGGCAGGACTAAAGGAAGAATATCATTAGATTGGACCCAGAGGAGTGGACAGAATTTCTACAGGAGGATAGGGCTGTGGACTGTTAAATGGACCTGGTATAGATGAATAGCCTGCAGGGGAGAAATAGCTACTGGAAAAACAGACCATGTTGGTTGAATAAACATAATTTTGTGTGTAAAAATAAAGGAGATGAATTATGGGAACATTATGTGATGGCAAAGTTGGAATGCAAATGATATGAGAATTTGTGGGATATCTTGTTTATTGGAATAAAATCAATGAACACTTTAGAACAGACTACTTTAACTCAGGATACGGGATGCCGTCTTCCATGCATCATATTTCAAAATCTTTTAAGGTTGTTTTGCATTCTTTTTTGAATAAGTCTGAGTGTTATATTTGACTTTATATAGTCGGAAAAGTAAACCCCAAATATTATAATAATTTACTGATCCGTCTTTTTGAGCTTTAAGCCTAAATCCAAGCTGCTTCATACACAGCAGTTACTAAAGTTACAGAAGCCCCAAAGGAATTTAAAGCATTTTCCCTTATTTGATTTATTTTCTACATCCTTGGCCTTAAATATTCAGTTACATTTTAATGTTCGTGACTATAATATGCACACCTTCCTGGGCCCATGGATTTATCTTTATTATTATTTTTCTTTTTGCAGTAGCTGTCCATGGTGGATATGTAATCATCCTCCTATTATGTAAAGGTCTGAGGGTAGGCCTTTAAATTATTGTGATCTTTGTTTTTAACAGCATGCCTGGGACTGTTAAAACAGCTCACTTATTTACAAGCAGATTTGATTATGTGGATGAGCAGTTTTCTGTTCATTCGGTTACCAAGACAGAGCTAATCAACATACTCTTACATAAACACAGACATAAAATGTGTGTTAAAGTCCAGTGAAGCAGCAAGCCCACACCTGCTGCAGCTTCAGACTGCTAGGGTTCTCAGCAACGGTCCCTGTGGAACTTTGAACCAAATAGAAAGCATATCCAAATGAGACTTTGTCACCAAAATTTGGCTTGCTAGATGAGCCTTTTAATAAGTGAAACCTTAACACAGAAAGAGCCCTTAAATATCTTGCTATTACTAAAATTGCACATCGACTTCTGTACTCTTGAAAAATTTTAATACTTCCCTCCCCTTTTTAATCCTCACCCGAGATACGTTTTTATTGATTTTTAGAGAGAGAAGAGAGGAGAGAGAGAGAGACATTGATATGAGAGAGAAACATCCCTCAGTTGCCTCCCACATGCACCCTGACGAGGGTTCAAATCTGAAACCCAGGCATGTGCCCTGACCAGGAATCGAACCCACAGTGTTTTGGTGTATGTGACGATGCTCCAACCAACTGAACCACGTGGCCAGGACTGCTTCCTTTTTTTGACATTAGAAGAAAAAATATAAAATACTTAGCTCAGTTCCAGGTGTCTTTAAACATTCTCATATGTCTTTCATTCCACTATACTACTTGATAATAAAAAGTGGTATCTAGTGAAGTAAGACCCTGTTTGGACTTTTCTGGAGAGAGAGGCCAAGGTCAGGTTAGAATGGTCCAACCAGAGGCAGTGAGCTGCAGTGTTCAAGAGCAGGGACCCTGGTCAGGTTGGGTTTGAGACCTAGTCCGTCACTAACTCCGGCCAAGTGACATTGGGCAAGTCCCGTAGCCTGTCCATGACCGGGCTTCCTCATCTGGGAAAGTGAGGATGAAAATATAGTACTTAACTCACAGTGTTGTTGGGAGAATGAACAAGCTAATGTACTCCAAAGCCTCGCAGAGGAAGCACAATGTAATTTTTAGATCTTATCATTAGAAATTACAGTCCTTTTGCCTGCCTGCCTTTCTTCCTCCCTTTCCCTTTTTCTCTCGCCACCCCACCCTCCTGCTTTCTTATTCCCATGCAAACTAATATTAGAAAATACATTTCCATAATAATTTTTACAGCTGAAATAAGAAAAATGCTCTCAAGTATCCTCACAATTAGACCCCACTCCTTGCCACATCTCTTGGTGAGATTGGAGTCATTCGAGATGACAAAAACCAGAGCCCGCAGGCTTTTCTGATTTTGGTTTGCAGCCTTCGGGTTATGGACCTGGTGTGCCATGGTCGGCGTTCCCCACAGCCGAGCGGGACTGATCAGCTGAGCCCACATACATTCAGACGCCGTTCCTAATGTCTTTTCCAGTTACCACGTAGGACGTCACAGCCAATGAGGTTAGCAGACTGAAAGCACCAGCTGTAATGATGCTCGATAAAGCTGTCAGGTTCTACGCCATGGATTAGTAGCATATCCCGACTCCATAAATGAGATAAAATTTAAACCACCCATGAAACAGTGCTAGCTCCAGCAGCTCTCGGTGAGGGCAGTCTCCCCTGCAAAGCTGCTGAAGAAATACAACATGCCTCCGAAGTGGCTGGGGCTTGGATACACTGAAGAGTAAAGTGGCAGCCGGTTCCCTTCCCTTACGTCTAACGTAAAAACAAATTGTTGGTATAAGTAGACATTAAAAACAGAAGTCATCCCAGAGAAAATACAATCGTTTTAATGCAAGTGATTATGTTAATTTGGCCGGAAATTTGAATTGGTGCGAGTTAGCTGATTCCTGGGTTGCTTCAAGTGGGCACTGGTAAATGTTGAACCAATGAGTCTCCAAAAGGAAATGAAAAAGCCCTGATGTGTGGTGTTTGCCAGTTCCTGTGGCCAATCTGAAGCTACCAATCTGATGCCGCTGAATTGCAGTTATTAGAAAAAAATGTGCGAACTCGGCTGTCATGAACCACTGTGGGCTGGCTCTTGCACACCTTCCCTTATTTCTTTTTCTTAAGAACTGCAGAACGGACGTGAACGTCTAGGAGCACTCATATTGGGAGAGTTCTCCATGAAACAAGTGGTCCTTTCCTCCATGGCACATAAACATCATCTGTTCTTAATCAAACGAAAGATAGTTTCCGTTCAATCTCATTTTTTAGTTTAGATCAATCATAATTTGTTCCAGGTAATAATGGAAACTCTTGTTGCATCTAATAACTATTTTTACTCCATGTAAAATTTTGCTTCTGTTTTTCTTATTTGTAATCAAATTGTTCTTCCCTCCGATTCTTCCTTCTTAGTTGTTATGAGGGGTTAATTCTGATTACTGTAGTATTAATTGTTAAACACTTTGATAATTTTGGTGACATGGGTTTAGAGGTGTGAACTACAGTTGAACTGTCTGCAGTATAAAGATGAAGCAATTCAAGGGTCTGAGGTAACTCGGAAGGAGGAAAGAACTCTGGGGGTGCTCTACAGGGAAGCAGTGCTACGGAAGGGCCTCCCGGGGACGGAAGGGCAGCCCAGGGACCTTTGAAGTACATTGGTATCTGGAGTGTTTTGAAGTTGTTTGCCCTGGAGGGTATGATGTATGCCCTCCCTCCGTCTCTCCTCTGATGTCTTGTTTGGTGTGTGTAGGTATATTCTTTGGAGGGAACTGGAAGAGTAGGGCCAGTGGCTATTGTATCTGACTTACATGCA